AGTTGCCATACACTTATACCTAATCGTTGCATGGTCTCAAGCTTACCTCGCAGATCAGCTGCATGTCACCGTACTCAATACCGTTGTGGACCATCTTGACGAAGTGACCAGCGCCCTCGTCACCAACCCAGTCGCAGCAGGCCTCGCCGTCGCTCTTGGCGGAGATGCTCTGGAAGACGTCCTTGATGTAGGGCCAGGCCTCCTCGTTACCACCGGGCATGAGGGAGGGGCCGTAACGGGCACCCTCCTCACCACCGGAGACACCGCTGCCGACGAAGCGGATGCCCTTCTCGGCGAGGTACTTGGTACGGCGGTTGCTGTCGGGGAAGTGGGAGTTACCACCGTCGATGATGATATCACCCTTCTCAAGGTGGGGCAGGAGAGACTCGATGAACTGGTCAACGGGCTTTCCGGCCATGACAAGGAGCATGATACGACGGGGGCGCTTCAGCTTGGCGCAGAACTCCTCAACGGAGTGAGCACCGACGATGGGCTTGCCTGATGACCCGAATCGTTAGTCGATCCAAGGGCTGAGATGCATCCTGGCAGAGCGAGCTTACCCTTGGCCTCATTCTCAAGGAAGCGGTCAACCTTGGAGGTTGTGCGGTTGTAGGCGCAAACAGTGAAGCCGTGGTCAGCAGCGTTAAGGATCAGGTTCTGACCCATAACGGCCAGACCGATGAGACCGAAATCAGCACTAGGCAAAGGACGCGCCGGGGCGCCGACATTGATGCCGGCGAGACGGGCGCTAAAGTCAGTTGCCAAATCCTCTGTCAATAGCTGGGCAGAAATGTGACAATTGGGGGATGACGAGTGAAGCTGCGTTGCCTCTAACGCTACTATGACGTCGAGACGCAAACCCCACGAAGCTGGCGGTCCATTGCACCATCACCACTAATCAATGGAAGATGGATCCTGGAAGCCATATGAAGCAGTCTTTTCATTCTCCAGCTGACTCACGAACAGCTGCTGGATCTCCCCCGGCTCAAAATTGATGCGTCGGAGGGGTACCAAGCTGTGGGGGAAAGCAGATGATTGAGGGACATGTAGGCTTGAAAGGGGATAGGGGAAGGGAAGAGAGAACAATGGTAGCCGCAGGGTACTTACACAGCTTGGTCAGCCATGATGAAATAGTGGGGGGTATGAGACTCTGGAGATGGAGATATGGGAAGAGGTGGAAAAGTAGAGGAGAGGGGGAGGTGGTGGATATATGTACAGTCAGGAAGAACTAACTGCCTAGAGGAAGATGGAGAAAAGGAGGAAGGTTTTAGTTTGGAGGGGAAGGAAGGGAAAGAGAGGAAGAGGAAGAGAAGCGAGCGAAAGGGAGAAGGCGTTCGAAGATGTCAGAGCAGGATTCGCTGCAACTGGACGGCTTACGGAGCAGCTCTTCCGTCATGGTGGGACGGAGGGCGGGGCAGCACCTGAACAAGAGAGGAGCAGAGTCCTCCGGTGAACAAGACTTGGTAGTAGTAAGTCAGTACACCGGTGGGAGAGGGAGTTTGGTACCGGAACATACATGGAAGCCCGCGGATAGAATGGTTGTTGGTGAGTAATTATTGTTATGTGAGTAACTATAGTAAGTAGTAGTAGTAGTAGTAGTATCTAGGAGTGATGGCTGTTCTTTTTTTTTCTTTGAATTAAATCTGGTTTGGGTAATACAACAAGCATGCATACATACTACTACTATCTACTGCTATGAAAACCCCCACCATTTCCACTGTCATCCTCGTAATATACGACCTCTACATTATATTTGTTCCCAGATTGAGGATTTCAGTCTCGTCAATTCCTTATTGATGAAAGACACTACATCCCTCAACTCCAATCGCCAATTGATTCCCTGGGGATGACATGTTCGGAGATGACGGTGTTGCCAGGAGCTTCAAACATGGCGGGGCATGGAGGGGCACTTGCCGGCCGCAGCAAAATACGCCCGTAACGCAGGTAAAAAAGCCCGCGTTTCCTAATTCCTACATCGGCCCAGCAACAGTCAAAAAAGGGACCGAAATTCCCAGACTTCCCAGAACACGTTCGGTGAAGCACCTTCGGAGGCGGATAAATCGGTCTCCCCTCCACTCTTCCCCATCTTGTCTAACTGCGAACAGTAATTCACTGTTACTGTTGGTTCAGACAGTGGTTCCTCCATCACCTCATTCCAGTGTATCAACAATGCCTATCTATCGGGTACAGCATCGGACTTCCTCCTGTATGTAGTGTGTCAATTGTCATAGTATGTTCTGCTTTTCGATGGCCCTTCGGTATCCCAGCCATCGGATTTTGTTGGGTATCTAGACCCCGCGGAGGAGAAAATCCATAAGCCGGAGAAACTGGCCGCTATTTCCGGGGACTTCTTATCTTCATCCCGCACTGGTCTTTTTCTCCTCTCGTGATGGAATTGGCACGATGCCCTCCTATAGGGACGATCCTCCCCCGGCGGTCGGCTACTGCATTTCCCAAAGGGGCTTAGGGTGGGGGTTGCATCACATGTGGGAAATCCGTTGGGGGCTCAAAGTCGTGCTTGGCTGGCTGACTCAGGAGGTCAGCCTGGCCGGCCAGCTGTTTTATCACGTGAGTTTTATGGCTCAAGTCACGTGGTATAGGCAATGCCCGGTTTGCATCGAACGGGAGGCGAGAAAAACCATTCATGCGGTCTTTTCTCTCCTGCCGCGCTGGACTTCATCCGTCATCTGGGCCACCAAACTTGCCAACCCGAACCTTTCAACAGCACACGGTTCGCAATTATTCGATACACTACCCATCTGACTATCGGGACCGCCGTCGCCTCTTCACACTATACCGCAAGGAATTGTTAGATATTCCACCACCACTTCCCCTTCTGTCTACTCACCTGTCTCTGTACTAGTGCTAGGAAAGATCTAGAAAGGCTCATCACTAGTCCTTTCCCCCCATCAAGATTCGGAACCTTTTTCAGGCGTGACGTCTGGCGTATGACTGCTGCGTCAGTCAAACCCTGAAGGTACGTGTCTGCTGCTAGTTTGCACACGGCGCATCACATCATCCACCACCTTTCTCTCCATACTATATATCGGACTCTCCGTTCATCATGTCCTTTCCGCCACCTCCAGGTCTCAGACAAGCCCCGTCATCTCTCCCTCCCCGGCCGCCGGCGACAGCAAGTGCTGCCTCATCATCTACCTTTCAACCTGCATACTCGGCGGCACCGTCAGGCGCAAACAGCAGCTATGGCGGAAACGGGTCTCGACCGGGCTACAGCGCCATCACAGCATTCCAGCCTCGCTCGGTAGCTTCCAGTCAATCTTACCGTACCAGCAGCCCTGTCGTGTCTGCTCCGCCTACTACATCTAGTGGATATTCGACACCGACCACGGGCAGTTACGGTGGCTACTACCCTCAGGCGCAAGCGTCATATCAAAGCGGCCCTTCTTACTACGGGGCCGCCCAGTACAATGATAACACATACGGTCCGTCTGTACCTCGAATTCAAAACCCCTTCACGCCAGCAGGAGGCGATCAGTCTGGCGCCTATGGCATGCGTGGGAGGAACTTTGGCCGGAATGAATCGGGGCTGGACCCTGAAACGGAAGCCCAGATTGCACAGTGGCAGAGTGCCTACGTAAACAAGGAGGAGATGCCCGTAGCCGGCAAGGTCCCTGGTCGCCCGGGTGTCAACCCGGGTGTTGCTGGTCCCGCTTCTGGTGCCAATACCCCATCCGGTTCCAATACAGCGGCTAACACGCCAGCACCCACCGTGGGTAACCCGGAGCCTGCTCCGAAGACTGTGGTTCGTGCCGGAGGTGGTCAGACCTGGTCCGATTCGACCCTCCTTGAGTGGGATCCCGCACACTTTCGCTTGTTTGTAGGCAACCTGGCTGGAGAGGTCACGGACGATTCGCTACTCAAGGCATTCTCCAAGTACACCTCCGTTCAAAAGGCCCGAGTAATCCGCGACAAACGTACCCAGAAGAGTAAAGGTTACGGCTTCGTCAGCTTCAGCGACGGCGACGACTATTTCAAGGCCGCGAGAGAGATGCAGGGCAAGTACATTGGCTCGCATCCGGTTCTGCTCCGACGAGCCACCACGGAGGTCCGACCCGTGTCCAACACGAAAAATGGGAAGAAGCATGGCGGTGGCGGCGGTTCGGGTGGTGGCTCCGGCAGTGGTAAGGTCAAGCATGATGGAGTCAAAAAGCATGGAAAGACCAAGGGAGGACTCAAGATTATCGGATGAAGGAGTCATGTTGTATGTTTCAAAAACTTAGTGTGTATCGGATAAATAATAATGCATAAAGCTAAGCAGAGAACTCTCTTATAGCATAAAGGACGCCTACACAGTTCAAATAAATGGTGAGCAGCTGGATGTTACCGAGGCCTCGGGAAACTATCATGCATATAGACAAGTGTCACAGGGGTCATTATACGGAGTAGTATCGGCTACAGCAGTCGCGGGATGGAAAACAAAATACTACTACTACCGCGGGAGCTCGAAAATCAGTTCTAACGTAATTATGAATTACTTGATGTTCTACCTGCCATGGGAACAGTATACCTCCGGCGGATTTTGAAAACTATATTATGCTTTCCTGGACTGTGACGGTGACTCTCTCTAATTCTAAGCCATCGAAACGACTCTCGATATAACTAACTAGCAATCAGCTAACTACTACTATGTAACAGACACCGGTCACGGTATTTTCCCTTCCCCGTTTAGGAAAGTCTCACTATATACTATATTTTCTGCACTTGTATAAAATCGACTCATTCAGCCCGCTGCAATTGCCCCGCTTATTATTTCTCAAGTCCGGGCATGAAGAGCTGCTTCTGCACTGTGCGTTGCAACACGTTAATCGGCTAAAGCCCTTACTGCAGTAAATCTACAAAGTCCTGGTTTTTTCAGTACCATAGGTAGTTCTTCTGGCTGGTCTGTATTTGAACCAAATCATTATGTCGGTATATCTTGCTAGATAACTTTAGGCTTTGCCAGAAATCTCTTCTATTCCATCCCATGGCGAGTTTGATATTTAAGGATCACTATTTCCAACCCCCAGAGTCAGCGTAACCCTGCGTGTACAGAACCGGGGGGTACTCACCATCAAGAAGTGGCCTTCATCGTCAATCTCGGGGACGACGAGGGTGTTCTCAGCATTATCACCAGGCCGAGCAGGAGGACTATAGCCGGATAAAGACTATGTCAGCAATGGGTGTATAGTATGATATGGAGTCTGTACTCACGCAGGGTCGTCTTCTGACAGGACTTCCTCTATCCATCGGTCTGAATAGCGGACATAGTCCTCAAACGGACCGGCCAGGGCAGCGGGCGAGGCACGCCAGGTCGGGATATTCGATTGGCGAGTCCTCGCGTATCCCTGGAGCACGACCATTGCGCGGATATGGAGGTCGTTGGGATCGACAGTCAACTCCTACTCCCTGATCCAGTTTCTAAGGAGGAAGACTTCCACGAAGATATAGTTGGCGCCCTGGCGGATTTTGGAGAGTACGTGATTCAGCGCGCTCAGTCAGCAGAAATATCAGATGGGGAGGTCTGTGTCATGTCCGTAGAGGGTATCATTAAGCCCGGTGTAAGGATTGGCGCAAGCTCGCTGCATAACAATTTCGATCCATCTCAAGGTCAGCACAGTCAGAATGGTCATGAGTGTCTATTAGATTAGACAATTAGCCGGCGGACATGGAACACGGTAAAACAGAGAGCACCAACCTTGCCATAGCCAACGTCATCAGCCAAAATCCGCCGCGCAAGTAGGTCGTCACCTCACACGCCAACATCCAGATTGCACCGTACACCTGGTACGGAAGAAGATATCGCTTAGTTTGGAGACCCGCTATAAGAATCCTGCATGGAGTCAACTGTAGCAACTTTACCATGTCCTCCAAGCTATATTGAGCCTTCCCAGGAACTTCGTCATTTAGTAAAAACGTACTCTTTCTTCTGACCTGCATATGTCATGATGACAACAACTCTTTCCCCTTTCAGCGCACCACACTGATCAGGTACTCCACGAGTTCCATGACCACAGAAACATTGGAATTGATCCTGAGCGAGAGCCGCTCATTGTTCTCTGATATGTAATAGATTCTGGATCAGTGACTGCCAGACTCGACTCCCACTGGTAGAAATGGGACCCATCATTCCCGATGTTCCGCAGCACTAGTACTCACGGGATGAGAGCATTGGTTAGGACAATCCTGAATCTTGCTGGACATGCTCCCGACGAGTATTCTATGATCAGATGTGGCATATGAGGACGGTATAAATCGTGCGGCTTATCTGGGGTGAGTCGCTAGCATCGAGATGGGCAAGGGGGTCTCGAGTAAGGAAGGTTGTGGTGGAAGTCGTGTACACTTCGAAGTTACTGATACCATAGCAAGCTTTGAATAGGAAAGAAAAGATGGAAGGTTGGAGATGAACGGAACAAGACGGTTCAGCAAACCCCCCAGCGCGTCAACCTGGGGGCAGGGGGTACCCTCAGATTGATTCTCACAGGCTGGAAAGATCGCCCTCTCGGCATGGCCCATATCATCCTGCGTATCAGTCTCAAGAGACTCATATACACAGGATAGCCTAATCATGAGTATCTCAACATCTTTAATAGCAAGCTGGTTGTTTTTGGCTGGGGCTTACCGCTTACCATAAAAATAAATCGGCCATGCCGACCACCGCGGTTTGGGTCACTAGTACAAGTCACACCAGGCTTGAATGGATCACTTCCTCTCTCCTCGATTAGGTAGACGCGGGGGCACGCAGGAAAATGGTCGCCTGCTTGTGTGTGCCAGATCGGCAGTGTGAGCGGCCTGGCGTGGAAAAGGATGACTTGAAACACTCTTTCTGGGCTCTGTGAACTATGTGTGTATTAGGGCAGCAGGACACAAGATGAGGAAGGGAACAGTGGATAATTGTTGGTCGCTCTGTCTTCGTTAATGGCAGGCAGTTAGGGTTGTCACACTCTTCCCCAGGCCATAGTCATCGGCGAGAAGACCTCCCCAGATAGAGACTATTCCTGACCACGAGCTTATGTACGTTTGATAGTCTGCCAGGGGAGTAAGAAAAGGGAGGGACCTGGCTAATCCAGATAGATGGTCGTGCGCCTCCACGAGCGTGACCGGGTTCGCTGAGAGGCTTGTCCGTGTTCACCGGCACGTCGTCAGTGCTTGTTTCCAGGGGGAGGACGGTTGGCTTCACGTCAGAATAGATGAAACCTGTTGCTGCTTCTTCTCGCTCAGACTGTGGCTGTGTGACTGGGTAAGATAGCACGACTGAGGAACTCACGCCGTCCCGTCCGTCCAACGCAGTCTGTCAAGGATGACAGAGGCGAGAGAAGGCCAGGAATCGGAATCGATGGAACCTGCTGCTGCATCTTACCCAGTCTGTAAGCCGGGTAACTGGAGTACCTCCTGGCGTGACAGAAGCGAGAGAAGGCCGGGTTCTGAATCGATGGGACCTCCCTCTCCGAGAGTGCGGCATGTGTATCTGCGTGCGCGGCCATTGTGGCTATGCCGTGGATATCTTTCTCCGCGGCGTCTGCAATCACTGTATTTTTCTGGCCCATATAGAATACACTTCTTCTTACATCATGACTTGCTGGTACTGGACCTCGCAGTAGACATAATCCATAGGCGGTTCATGCATACCTCCGACGCGGGTGCAATCGAGTGCGTTCCCCAGATTGCAATCCAGGACTTTTTCCATGGTCACGGTGTCTTTTCCCGGTGATCGAAACAGTTTTGCACAAACCATTTCTAGTAAATCTCTTGAATGTCATATCAATTTCACTGAAATAGACACCCCGCAAGAGCATCTTCCTCTGGAAGACCGAGCAGGTTTTCCAAATAGCCTACTGCTCTTTCTCAGAAAATGGAGTTGATGATGGTTCGGTGCGGCTTATGCTGAGCAGTCTATCGTCTGATAGACTCGCAGTAGAAGACCCCATGTTTGCTTTGGTGAGAGAGCAATGGGTGCTACTGTAACATGCTTTTTTCTGTGTTGGTAATGGATGTAAAACCGACAGAAGTGCCAAATGTTGCTTAGGAAAGACTCAGCAACACTGATGCTGCTTGTATACTAGATCATAGTATAGTAAGTCAAGCTGTTCAGAACGAAGTAGAGAGAGGATCATACATATATAGTAGTAGTGTAGAGGATAGGGAGGGAAATGAGGATGAGAGAGGGGAGGAGAAGAAGAAGAAGTCCAGCCATATATATAGGGTAGAGGAAGGTATTGAGTGAAGATAAACCTTGAATAGAGACCGGGTCATGGGGAATGGCCCCTATTATTCATCGGGATAGGACAGTCAACGTATGTGCAGGAATGATTTCAAATCACCTCTAGCACTTAGTGAAGGTCTAAAGCATAGTATATTCGGGGAATACTGGTATCAGAACCCTTTTCCAAAGCGTTTTATAAGTGAATTTTCCAGTTACTGCCTGACGGAGCTTGCCAGAAGGATTATGGTACTGCGAAAGGAAGAAACCGAGAATGCGGTAAGGAGGAACTTGCCGGACACATGGACTGCCATCGCAGATGCTATATGAGTAGTAGCCCTTCAAAATTGATAGTTACTACTTATACTATTCTGGATCTGGGTCTAGCTTTTCACTTTGAAGGAAGGAAACATAAATGTGGAGAGCAGCATATATAGTGGCTGATATATAAAGATGGCTACTAGTACTAGTATATAGCTAGCCAGCAGTAACAAGCAGAATAATGTATGAAAATAGAAGGGAGCATATACATATACCACAAAACACCAATCCAAACCATCAACCCCGAGAATCAGTAAACAAACGGTCAGATCCCGTCCGACGCAGACAACGAACGCTTTTCACAGCATGTATATATGAACCAGACACACAGCGTATAAAGAATCATTCAACAATGCATATGCAGAAGTACTCCGTACCCAAAACAATCGAAGAGGAAAACAATCATGACATAAACCCCATACATAAATGCAAATATTTCATATCAGACAACGTCATGTTCCATGAACAATAATCGTAAATAATGCGTAATAGTAATAGCTCAACAATAATCGCAGCGAGCTAAGCCGTTTAAGTCGTCGAATCGATCAGATCAATCAATCGTAGTCTCGTAGTTTTCGTGACAGAAATGCTTCAATGAGCGGAAGAAAGCTGGGCAATCCTCAATTTGAAATTTAGGCCTCAGCTTCACCACCGCTTTCTTCGTCGACTGCGCGTTTCCGGGAGTGCGCAATGCGGTTCTTCATTGTGTGAATGAAGTACCCTGCGATGGCGAGGATGATGAATAGGACGATGATAATGACGGCGATGGCGATGTTTTCTTGCATTTTGGTGAATTTTTTCTTTGTCTTTTTAACTTTCAAGATTGGAGAATGAAGTATTGGCGGAAAGTCGTAATGCTTCCTGATGAGAAGGGATAGTATCTGTTGTGGTGCTGCTGATGATGGTAGAATGCAGGTATAGATCCCCAATCAATCTATTGATAAGATATGGATATGGATGTCCGACCGGAATGTAGATAGTAAACAAATGGTGTGGAATTCCACCCTGACAGAGCTTGTATGTAAAGAGCCCTGAATAACCCCAATTTGAGTAGCACGGGGAATGGGGGAGAAGGGAAAGAATGAAAAACCACGCAGCTCCCAGTTATAAAAGGGGAAATGGCGTGGGCGTGAACGTGGCCCAGCCATGTTGATTTTTGCTCCCCTGTTGCGGGTGGCTGGGGATAAGAAACGGATCCATGATTGCTGAGCTTATTGGGCGCTAAAAGTGTTAGTGCACGGCTTGGGCGCAGTTGGAGTGATGCTTGCTTGTTCTGCCGTGTAGTGCCGCCTTAGGGTGTTCAAGAATAACTGCTTCATTCTGAACTTTGCTTGATTGTGAATTTTAGCAGGTTGAAAGGTGAAATATCCTGGTGATGGTTGTTAACGATAGTTTTGTTAGGTTAATAGTCTCTCGTGCAAGGCCTAGTTCCCGGTACATCCACTATATCTACCTGCCATCTTCGTTCCGCCTACTTAGAGAGAGTAAGCCGAGCCCTGTCTCGCCTTCGGTGGGTAGGCATATCACCGCATCATCTCACTCAGGAAAACCAGCTTCTTCACAGCTAGTAGTAGTGTAGGTTACACCAGGAAATGTAATACCAGCGCAGTATCTAATTCACAGATTCTGACCATTGCCTTTTGTTAAGACTCAGACAATTCTTCTCATGTGCCCATGTTCGACTAGGCCGCTTACTTTACAGACCTCAAGCTCCAATCTGGTTTTAGGCACGCAGTGAGGCAAGGCGCCCATACATGCAGTAGAGAAATTAGCAAACATCATGTCCACTACTAAATTATGCCTCCCCTTTGCCCTGAACAAAACAACAAATCAGCCACTGCACGATCCAGACAAGAAACCAACCCAGACTTAGCAGCAAAGACGCACAACTTAGCCCTATTTACCACTCAAGCAACCCCTACTTCCTCGTCTCCACCACCTCCCCAATCATAGCAAAACTCAACATCTTCCGATCAAAAAACCGCTCCTCATCCTCCGCAATCTGCGCCGCCGCCTCAGGAGCCGTCACCTTAGCCATGAAAGCCTGGAAAGAAGGCTGATCAGCAAAGGTCAGTTCCGCCGTCGTATCAAAGTCAAAGTCCGACTGCTGGCCCTGAAGGATAGTCGCCGGGGTTGTGGCGTTGCGGGCCGTCGCCCCAGCAGGTGGGGTCTCAACGGTTGTGCGGGCTATATAGGTACGGCGGTGCGAGAGTGGGAAGTCTTCGCCGGAGATACGTCTCACGAGATCGATGTGGGCTTCGTAGCGCTCTCGGAAGGTGGACAGAGAGAGACCGGGCTTGCGGTAGCCGTAGATGAAGACGCGGACGGTCATTCTGAAAGGGGGGGATGGTTACTATGGAGGAGGGAATGGAAATGTGATCAAGTGGGTTTGGCGTGGAGTTGAAGGGTATAGTTTGTGCTTGAGCTTGGGTACATGAGCTGCATTGGAGGTGGGGTTGTCAGGCATGGATTATATCGGAAGTTGGTGCATGCTAAGTGCTGTTTCTTGGATTAAAATGGACGAAGTAGTGCTCATGGCGGGGTTATTAGGGTAGATGTCTTTGTTTTCTTTGTAGGGCTTAGATGGAATAAAGGAGCGAATATATTATACTGGATTGCGAGTCTGACATTCGGAGGGATAACAACTCATGGTGTGCGGAGGGATATTGTATAGTGATAATTGGTGCAGGCAAATGTACATAGATGCGATAACTACAGATGGTAAGGTATACGGGTCTTAGAGAAGGAAATAGGGACCAGAATCTTTATTTCAGTTCAATAAAGTAGAGAAAGACGAAGAGGAGCGGCAAAGAAGCATCTGTGTGTAGAAAAAAGAATAAAGAAAAGTAAAAAGAATGACCAGTCTGGGGCTCGATCCCAGGACCTTATCGGTGTTAACGATACGTGATAACCAACTACACCAACCAGCCATTGTTGTATGTCTGCAGCAAATTACATATTTATGTATCTGTAAGTAGTCTTTACTCATAAAAACACGCTGGAAATCAAACGCGCCAACTCAAGGCCACCAATGAAACCTCCCTATCTCGTAGTCGCATCAAACAAAGAGCGCCTTATGAATGTCTGTTGTAATTAAAATTGTGATCTGCGGTACCCGCAGCCGCTTACTCCCAACCGGCTTGGTATGCAGTTGGTCTGGGCTGTTCGGAACTTGATATTCCCCATCAACCTCCGGATGTCACGGTCATAACATGGGAATGGCGTCACGACTTCCGCTTGAAGCTGGCATTCCGGCTCGACTGCAGGGGTTGACTTTGGGATTGTAATAGTCAGGATGACTTAAATAATAGGTAATACGTCGAAGCGAGCAGTTACTTGGCCCCTCTCGCTTGCAGGCCAGACGGTTAGATATTTTAAGAACGACAAATATTGGTATCATCGCACATTAACCAGTCATATCACTCTGATGCGCACTACTGTGTACACCAACTGATGGCGCGGAGACCCGACGTTTCAGTGGTCGAACTAGGCGCCAACCCATGAGTTCCCCGGACCCTGGCTTCCGCGCGTCAGGGCTAGCACTAGGTGGACTAGCAACTGGCACTCACAGGAATTTAAGGATTCATAACCGAAATACAACTCTGGAGTGACTCGAAGCCACTTACAAAGAGTCATCAAAGTGTCCAGGCAAAAGTCAGGCCAGACAGCTGAGCCCCGCCCGGCGCCGTTCCACTTCTTTAGCCCCAGATCTAGTAGACTAGCCACCTAGGCCTAGGCAGAGATTCAGGGGAATTGAAAGACTGGGGAAATTGCCTTGTCGCCTTTCACGATCCGGTCGACTCTCAGTCTGGTCCAACTGATAATGTTTCTATTCACATCACAAAAACGGTTCGGCCGGCTGATTCTCTATGCGCTGGGGGTGCTCGGGATCATCCTCATTTTATGGCAGTTGCCCTATGCTCGGCCCACCGTGCGGATAGGAGCTAGAAGCGCCCGGTCTCAGCTCGAGGATATCAGGAACGAGACTCTGGGGGTACTTCCCTCTCCAATGAAGTTGACATTAGCCCCCACACTAATTATGTATAGGTCCAGAAAATATTTGCGATCAATCTGCCTAGCAGGGTTGACAAGCGCGACAACCTTGTCCTTGGCTCTTCAGTCAGTGGGTTTAACATCGACTGGGTTAACGGTATCACTCCCGACGAGGTTGACCCCAGGACGTACCCTTATGTGAGTTCTTGACAACGCTATCCAATGGGATGCATGCCACTGACATTTCAAGAACTGGAACTATGACCACAAACCTACCGAGTATGGAGCTCGACGAGCTCATGTGAATGCCATGCAACGGTATGCCATAAGCTGCCCCCTTCCCCAGATATCTGGCTAAACATGCACCTCCAGAATTGTTCATGAGAGATTAGGAAGTGCCATGATCATGGAGGATGATGTCGACTGGGACGTAAACATCAAGACCCAGCTACAGAGTTTTGCTTTCGGCGTCCGGGCTCTCCAGGGTGCGGATACCAAGGTGACCGCTTCACCGTACGGTGACGACTGGGACATCATCTGGCTTGGTCACTGTGGCGTGTCATGTCGAGAAAACGATCCATATTTCGTGAGCTCGAATGATACAACCGTCCTCCCGCCACATCACTTCCTGCCCTACTGGCGCGATCCACCCTCATTCGGGGTACCAGACTATAGCCGTCTAACCTGCGCCGTCGACGACGCAGTTTGCTCGATTGTCTATGCTGTGACCTACCGTGGTGCTCAGAAAATCCTGGCCGCTCTTTCCGTGAACCCGACAGGTCTCGCCGATAAAATCGACATTGGTGCTCAGTTCGACGTATCGCTCGGTCGCATGTGCGGCAATGGCTATCTCCGGTGCTTTGCGGTCTACCCATCCTTAACAGGTGGATATCATCCCGCTGGGCCCTCCTCGAAGGAATCTGATATTCATGGCGGGAATGAGGACGTCCATCCCATATCCAGTCACGGAGTTATGTACAGTACGATGCTAAACATCAACCGCATACTGGCTGGAGAGGATACGGTTGTTTCCAACTGGGATGACGCCCCTGTTCCAGTGATTAATCCGGCGAATGTTTCAATGACTCGGGGATCAATGATCATTTCTGCAGACAACGGCGAGTATAGTCCTTCAATTGTCAACCCGTAATCAAAGGGAAAACATATGCCGGCAGTTTCGAAAATCTTGCTCAATAATGTATATAGACTTGCTTTTCTTTAGAAGATACCTACATTAATCACATTTGACCTTTTGATTTTATCTATCCATCGGCTTTAAGAAATCTGCAATCTCGCGTCAAAAATAACCAAGATGAAATTAATAGAACAGGAAACTACGACCCAGCATCACGCTATTTTGTAGCTCTTGCCTAACGAAGAACGCCATAGCCTCTGCTATATAGAAGTAAAATAATAACCTCCAAACTAAACCCACCCACCCCCAACCTAGTATAACAATCATCATTATGGAATCCCACAACAGCGTCCAAACCGTACTCTCCGTCCGCACCATCCTAGAATACATCCTTCTCGAACTAGACATGCGCACAATCCTTATCTCGGCGTCCCGCGTCAATCGTTTCTGGAACTACACAATCAGTAATTCCCGTCCCATCCAACAAGCACTATTCATACAACCATTTAGACGCCGCAACCACAATTCCCCACAAGGAGTCCTCAACCCTCTACTAGCAGAAGCCTTTCCAGGGATCTTCCAGCGGAACAGTACCGTCTTCCCCGAGCACACAGAAAGCAAACTTACCTTTGACACTTTCCACATGGTCAGAGACCCCACCAGGACGGAAATATACATGCGAGAAAACGCAAGTTGGCGCCGGATGCTAGTCCAGCAGCCTCCTGCGCGTTCATTTGGGATCGTTAGCCATATTGGGGATGATACGGGGTTTCGGGAGAGGTGTGAGATACAGGTTAGTTGACCTATTCGGTGTCATTTGGGTGGTGGTGGGTTTTAATGAGGGTTATGTGTTTGTTAGAGAGTAAGCGAGATGGGACCAGAGCCGCCGAATGACGGTGTGCGCATGGAAATGCTTTTCGAAATCCTGGTATTTCATGGCGAACTCCATGGCTTTATGGATCATGCTACTGTTTACTGGTGGGGAGATCGTTCGGGCTCTTGGGTACTGGAATATATGGAGGGTATGGGCTTGTGTAATGCCTCGACGGCGCCGGATCTGATATTGTATATCCCTCTGATTTTACCAGGTCGTCGGGAAATGGGTTCGGACATGGAGGTTAGTGGTCATACGCCGGCTCTGAATTATCTTCGTTCTTTTTATCAAGACAAGGGGATAATTCCTAATTTGAATATAAGGGATGGATGGGAAACCTTTGTTAAGAGACGGAGGAGGAGGTGGGTCTGATGCATGTATGCGGTATAGATACTATGTGAATAGGATCAGGTAGTAGCATTCGCACGATATGTATGACAACGCAGTGGCAGACCTTTGTCTAGGCGCATGTCTCTAGCCCTGAATATACGTGCGGAACAAATTCGCCAGTTCAAAGAAACTGGCCTTGTAGAAGCGCTCTTGCGTAGTCAAGTTGACATACTACAACGATGTCAGTATAAGCTTTTTTTGTATACAGGAAAAGAAAACTCACCTGTACTCCGAATCTTGAAGGATACCCAGCCCTCCACTCGACATAATCAGCCAGCCATACTCCAAGCCGAGCACCCCACAAGTTCAACCCCTTCCTGCACAGCCATCAACATCGCCTGCACATAATCATGATTATAGAGGATCCTTAGAGGATCCGTTAGTATATCCTCGCGCAGAGTCCTATACGCCTCAAACGGCCCCGAAAATTCAAACTCAGCAATGGTTATACCATTTACGCGATTCCACGTATCCTGGATATAATGCAAAAACCTAGCCAGCCAATCAATAGCCTTATGGAACCAGATCGAGCCAGGGTCAGACGCTGGGCCAATAAGCCAACCACCTTCAGATTCAGGTACCGTGTAAGAGGTGTTATAGCATGAAGGGTACAGGCTGTTGTTGGGGTCAGCTAGACACCCCTCGATCCTTTCTCCAAAGATATTAGAGAGAAGTTGAGGAGGAGGTAACAAAGTTAACGGAGGACGGGGGGGAAAGAGTGAGAGAAGAGAGTGAGGCGGAAAAGCAGAGGGGCGGCTCTTCTCTCTCTTCTGGATGTAGCCAAGCCATTTTCTTCCTCCTTCACCCCCCTTCATTCCATTACCCACAACTGCACCCCAGCAATGCTGTCAAAGGTGGAACAGACCATCCAACTGCGACATTGGAATCTGCCGCCTTGATAAACGATCATTCAACCTGGACTTATCTATAGAACAACCCAGACTCCTCTTCTAGTGGCTGATAGCTTCCATACCTGGGCTGATTTTGTGTCCAGCAAAATGTGGGAAAGTACGCAATTTGAGTCTCTCAACTCTTGTTATCCTCCTTGCTTCAATTCTATGACCGTTACAATGCTTTGAGTCACTAAAGACAATGGAGGACTAATAGCAACCGCATCCGATTACCGATCTGGTCCAGATCCGCAGATGATGACCTCACCATGATCCACGGAAACTATCGACGACATCAAGCTTAAGCCATGGTTCATTCAGGGTCTTCTCTCACACCTTCTTCCATCATCCGAACTTATCTAATCACTTGATGCATGCTTATTCGATCCCACGATCGGCATCTCGGTCGTCATGTTGTCCGATCCATACTTCACTCTGCTGGTCGAAAGCTAGAGCTCGGTGGTGAAGTTGCATCGGTCTTAAGCAAGCTCCGACAATGCCGGTACTTAACGCGGAATGTAGAGGAGTGTAGAGAGATAAGGGCACACAGAAGCCCATTGCATTCGCTCATCCCCCTGTTGTGTCTCTTGACTTCTGTTTCAAGCAGACATCGGGTATTGTCTCCGCCGTTACTTTACTGATTGATATGTTATATTTCTGGTAGCTAGTGTCGCATCGCTATCAACATGGACTCGGGACGCTCCCCTCCCAGCGAGCCACGCTTTGTTCCCGACGAAGACGAGAAAAAAGCTCCACTGGATTCTTCTTCCGATTCGAGCTCAAGCGCGTCGCGTAGCTCTGGCCTTTCGAGAAAGCAATCGGCTATACCTGTAGAGCATCAAGTCTCGAATGAAAATGTGATCCGACAGGAGTCCTCACTTCAGAGGCAGCTCACGCAACAGGATATTGCTCGCGCCCTTTCTCAACGACGCAGCACTGGGGCCGCGGGGGCCGATGATACGGATCAGATAGCGAGATTGGTTTCGCGGATGTTTGGCCAGGAAAGGAAGGCCAACTCAGAAGAGGAAAAGACAAGACATCTTGGTGTGGTGTGGAAAGACCTGACGGTCAGAGGTGTTGGTCTAGGAGCAGCCCTCCAGCCCACAAACACTGACATCCTCTTGGGTTTACCGAGATTGATCAAAGGCCTCCTCACCGGCGGGAGGAAGAGCGCACCACTGCGAACCATCCTGGATGACTTCAACGGATGTGTACGGCCGGGGGAAATGCTTCTGGTTCTTGGTCGTCCGGGGTCCGGTTGCTCTACGTTTTTAAAGGTCATCGGAAATCAACGATCTGGCTACAAAAGCGTGGAAGGTGATGTTCGCTACGGAGGTGCAGATGCCGAAACCATGGCCAAAAACTACCGTTCGGAAGTTCTCTACAACCCCGAAGATGACCTCCACTATCCCACGCTCACTGTACGCGACACCTTGATGTTCGCTCTCAAGTCAAGAACCCCGGATAAAGCATCACGGCTGCCTGGTGAAAGTAGAAAGCACTACCAGGAGACGTTTCTTTCTACCATTGCCAAGTTGTTCTGGATAGAGCATGCACTGGGGACAAAGGTCGGTAATGAACTCATTCGCGGAGTTTCTGGAGGAGAGAAGAAGCGTGTGTCTATTGGTGAAGCCCTAATCACGAAAGCCAGCACGCAATGCTGGGATAATTCCACCAAAGGCCTCGATGCTAGCACGGCTTTGGAATACGTGGAAAGCTTGAGAAGCTCAACAGACATGGCACATGCCTCCACACTCGTGGCTCTCTACCAAGCCTCAGAAAATCTCTACAACCTCTTCGACAAAGTCATGCTGATCGAGGAAGGCAAATGTGCCTACTACGGACGCACCGAAAATGCCAAGGCATACTTTGAGCGTCTGGGGTTTGTGTGCCCTCCTCGATGGACCACACCTGATTTCTTGACGTCTGTCAGTGACCCATATGCGCGGCGTATCAAGGAAGGTTGGGAGGATCGAGTTCCGCGTTCTGGGGAAGACTTTCAGAGAGCATATCGAAAGAGTGATATATGCAAGGAGGCCAAGGCGGATATTGAAAGCTTTGAGAAGGAGATCGAGTCGGAGCAGCAGGCGTGTGAGCAGGCCAGGGAAAAGAAAAAGAAGCAAAACTATACGGTGTCTTTCTATAAACAGGTTGTTATACTGACTCAACGGCAATTCCTCGTCATGTACGGGGATAAGCAGACGCTCATCGGAAAATGGGTGATGCTCACGTTCCAGGCTCTCATCATCGGTAGTCTCTTCTATGACCTGCCCCAGACTAGGTTAGTTCCAATGATCCATCACCCACGCCAATCAATAATTGATATCTGACAACTTTCATAGCGCTGGTGTCTTTACTAGAGGCGGTGTCATGTTTTATGTATTACTATTCAATTCCCTGCTGGCTATGGCAGAGCTTACGGCTCTCTATGGAAGTCGACCGGTCATATTGAAGCATAAGAGTTTGTGAGTGGGACATGGCATACATACCATTGCAGTAAGCTAACTTTACCAGCTCCTTCTATCGTCCAGCGGCATATGCCTTAGCTCAAGTGGTCGTCGATGTTCCCATTGTATTCGTTCAGATCACCATTTTCGAGCTGATAGTATACTTGTATGCAACTCTACCGCATCAATTGCTGATGCACGCTAACCGATATATTCAGCATGTCCAACCTTTCACGGACTGCGTCTCAGTTCTTCATCAACTTCTTATTCGTTTTCATTCTGACCATGACCATGTACTCATTCTTCCGGACTATCGGAGCACTGAGTGCTTCTCTCGACGTTGGTATGTAACACTGTAGGCTATTCTTTACGTGAGCTGACCGAGATTGTTAGCCACCCGTGTAACTGGAGTCTCTGTCCAGGCGCTGATAGTATACACTGGTAAGATATATCAGCCACTTAATGGACATTCTTACTAAAGATACCCAGGATATCTCATTCCTCCATGGAAAATGCATCCGTGGCTCAAATGGTTAATCTGGATCAATCCATTGCAATACGCGTTTGAGGCGATCATGTCAAATGAATTCTATGATTTGAATCTGCAATGTGTCTCCCCGTCCATATTCCCTGATGGACCCAGTGCACAGCCTGGCAACCAAGTCTGTGCGATCCAAGGAAGTACGCCAAATCAGCTTGTTGTGCAGGGATCGAACTACATACAGACTGCCTTCACCTACACTCGATCCCATTTATGGCGAAACTTCGGTATTGTCATAGCTTGGTTTATCCTTTTCGTATGCTTGACAATGGTCGGAATGGAGCTCCAGAAGCCCAACAAAGGAGGCAGCACTGTTACAGTATTCAAAAAGGGCGAGGCGCCCGAGGCTGTGCAGGAGGCTGTCAAGAATAAGGAACTTCCAGGGGATGTGGAAACGGGAAGTGATGGAACAGGAACCACCAACGGATTTCAGGAGAAGGATACAGACGGTTCCAGCGATGAGGTGCATGGGATCGCGCGAAGCACGTCAATATTCACCTGGCAAGGTGTAAACTACACGATCCCTTACAAAGATGGCCACAGAAAGCTACTGCAAGACGTTCAAGGATATGTCAAGCCGGGCTGCCTTACTGCGCTAATGGGCGCCTCTGGCGCTGGGTAAGTGACGGTTTTCTAAGGTCTGTAGACAAGCACTAATCATTGCCCAGCAAGACCACGCTTCTTAATACTCTCGCCCAGCGAATAAATTTTGGAGTCGTCACAGGTACCTTTCTTGTTGACGGAAAGTGGGTATCAGCTTGAAGACTGCTTTTCAAACAGCTACTTACGTTCGCAGGCCTCTTCCTAAAAGCTTCCAAAGAGCAACTGGCTTTGCCGAGCAAATGGATATTCACGAACCTACAGCAACTGTCAGAGAATCCCTCCAGTTCTCAGCCCTCCTTCGTCAGCCAAAGGAGGTCCCTATCAAGGAGAAGTACGAATATTGCGAAAAGATAATCGATCTCCTTGAGATGCGGCCAATTGCAGGTGCTATAGTCGGCGAGGGAGGAGCTGGACTAAACGCCGAGCAGCGCAAAAGACTTACTATCGCAGTTGAGCTAGCAAGTAAGCCTCAGTTACTGCTGTTTCTGGATGAGCCAACATCTGGATTGGACTCCCTCGCGGCTTACAATATTGTGCGTTTTCTTCGACGCCTTGCCGATGCCGGACAGGCCATTCTTTGCACGATCCACCAGCCGTCTGCCGTCCTTTTTGAGCAGTTTGATGAACTGCTATTGTTGCAAAGTGGGGGAAGAGTCGTCTACAACGATGAGCTCGGCACGGATTCCAAGAAGTTGATCGAGTACTTTGAGCAGAATGGGGCCAGAAAATGCTCCCCTCATGAGAACCCCGCAGAGGTACTCTTTCATATACGTTTATCCATTAAATACGATGCTAACTTGTGGTAGTATATGCTCGATGTCATCGGTGCCGGTAACCCGGATTACAAAGGGCAGGACTGGGGCGATGTTTGGGCCAGATCTACCCAGCATAGTCAGCTTTCGGAGCAGATCGAGAAAATTATTCAGGAGCGACGTAACAAGGAGATTGAAGGAGGAAAAGATGATAATCGAGAATATGCAATGCCCATCTGGGTGCAGATATTGACTGTCTCAAAGCGCAGCTTCGTAGCATACTGGCGAACCCCCCAATACGCTCTTGTATGTTCCAAAAGCTTACTTACATTGTACCTTTAACCAACCCTCTAACCACTTCACAGGGCAAATTCTTGCTTCATGTTTTCACCGGGCTCTTCAACACTTTCACTTTCTGGCACCTAGGAAACAGTTACATTGACATGCAGTCTCGAATGTTCTCCATCTTCATGACTCTCACGATAGCGCCACCCCTAATCCAGCAACTACAGCCACGATTTCTCCATTTCCGCAATCTATATCAGTCACGAGAAGCCGGTTCAAAGATATACTCATGGACTGCGTTTGTGACGAGCGCAATCTTGCCAGAGTTGCCCTACTCGGTCGTTGCAGGG